TTCAGTAATTCATTAATTCAACTATCAATTTACTGGTATCAGTAACTTTCTTTTTCAATTGCTTCCATTAATTTCGTCACTAATTATCGTTGTAATTGTTATTATCATTTTGTTTTTTAATTATTATAATTATTATTAATATTGTTATTATTATTATTATTATTATTATCATTATCATCATAATTTTTCTCACTATTGACGATAGTGTTAATTTGTATTGATTAATTGAATTGTATACTTTACAGTGATAACTTGACAATATCCCAATGTGGGTAAGATGAGAATAATTTGTCAATGTCATTGTCATTGTCATTGAGCTCTATCTTGTGAGATACAGAAATGTGACGCGTACTGCACTCTACGTCATAAAACAAACAACCATCGTGGTTTTGCCGCATCGTTATCTGAACAAGGCCTTAGTCTGGATCGCCCGTTCCTTAAACAAGCATGTCTTTTGCCGCGTAGAAATACTAAATTTCGTAGCTAAATAATCAATATTCTGTAAGAAACTTCTCTTAATGATAATCACAATTAGTCATGTAGTTCTTGCAGCAGTGGCGGATCCAGGGGGCCCCCCCCCCCCCCCCTTGAGAAAAAAAATCATGTAAAATCACGTGATTTTTACCTTTTTTGGGGGTTGGGCCCCCCCCCCCCCCTGGCGCTCAAGGGGGGGGGGGGTGCAAATTGAATTTTTTTTGAGGATCAAAAAAAAAAAATGTGCTCACTACCCCCCCCCCCCCCCCCCCCCCCCCCCCCCCCCCCCCCCCCCCCCCCCCCCCCCCCCCCACTGAGCGAATTTTTGGCCGGCGCGTTTTTCAAATTTTCGGGAGCAAAAAAAAAAAAAAAAAAAAATGGGCTCTGTACCCCCCCCCCCCCCCCCCCCCCCCACTGAGCGACTTTTCGGCCGGCGCGATTTTCAAATTTCCGGGAGCAAAAAAAAAAAAATAGTTGGGCCCCCTCCCCTAAGAAATCCTGGATCCACGCCTGTCTTGCAGCTTATAATATGGTTCGGTGTCATTCATTCCCTTGTTGTATCACTTGGTTGTTTGTTAGTTGTTGTTTTTTTATCTGCGATCTGGTCCCTGTTTCATCAGGAAGTTACTAGCCAGTAACTTCTTGGTTTCATTAAAGATTTCCAATAACAAATGCTAAATATCAATGACAAATTTGCTCTCAGCCAATCAGTAGCTTGTAAGACTTATTGTAACTTGTTATCGATAACAATGTTTTACGGCTCAAGTTGCTAAGAAGGGCTCCAAGAAGGCGGTCAGGGCCCCTCGGCCCAGCGGTGGCAAGAAGAGGAACGGGAGGGGGAGGGAGAGTTGTGGAATTTGTATACTGTTGAACATGTTATGTGTTTAAATGTTGTGTGGGGTGGGGGGGGGGGGGGGTAGTAGGTGTTTTGTAGCTTTTTCTCTTTTTTTTTAATATATATAATTTTTTTGTCTCCAAAGGAAAATGAAGAGGTGTAACTTTTGTATGTAAATGTAAAAGATCATTGGTAAATTTATAAAGACCTATGTTAAATTATTTTGTTATTTTGTATCCAATGTTATAAATGTACAATTTTTCTTTGAGAGAAACGAATAAAAACCTATGAAAACAAAAACAAAAAAACAGGGCCCTGGTCCCACCATTGATGAAAATAACTACACCTCCATGTAAGACAATTAACATTATACAAAGAATGCACTGTTGCGAGTGTGTTAGGGCAGGGCCAATGCACGAAGTTTAGCCAGTGCCACATGGGCCGAGGCCTGTTTCCTTGCTTAGTTTTTGATTTCCGTGGTCTCCATCTGGGAAGTACCTACGAAATATGTGTTATATATCTTGGAAATGTGTATCTGAAACAAAAATGACACGTTCCCACGTTTGAAACTTGAACAGTAACTAATAACGGCGGAAAACCAAGAAGAAAAAAAAAGAATTGGTTGCCTAGTAACCATAATAGGGGAGATATTTATTAGAATATTTTGCAGCAAATATGCTTACTGTGCATAAAGATGGTGATATGAATTGATGTTCAATCATATAAAAGTTTGATGTGCATATTAATTAGTACCTTAATTAATACATATTTACATGATATCAGTATGAACATAGAAACAGATGTATTTGTGTATTTATCAAGTTTTCCAAAGGGATGGCATTATTAGTCACATGCCCCATACCCATACCCCTTAGCTTTTATTAACCCCCCCCCCCCTCCCATGCTGAATACATTGTACCTTTCCCCCATTATTGTATCATGTTGCGTCAATTTGACCAATCGTGTTGCAAGATTCTGGTATGTGGAAAGTGTATATGATAGTTATTAGGATCGGAAGACGTCCACATAAAAATATATTTATAATTATATACATGCATATTCCGATAGTTGCATACGTGCTATCCCCTCTATGATAAAAGTTGACTGAATTCCACTTCTTACATTTCTTCTTCCAGTGTAAGTGCTGCTTCAAGGGGATGAAGATAAACGCACTGATTGTGTGTGTATATGTGGAGACTTTCACATATCCTGTTATTCCATATTTTAACTTTTTGTTCTTGTTGTGCAGGTGTAAGTAAAAAAAAAAATTAAAAAATTAAAAAATCAAAAAAATCTTCAATATGTCTATGTATAATCGGATTTATTTGAAATATATCATAATTTTTCTTGTATGATTACTGTATTTTCGTTAGTACTGTAGTAAATAAATCGGCTTCAATGCACTAAATGTAAAAGCATTCATCGTACGCATATTTCATAAGCTCTCAGTTTTCAAACGGTCTAAATAAATCAGCTTTTCCTCCTTAATGTAGTAACAATTATTTGTATATTTTGTACACTTTTGGGCCCGAATTCACAAAGCAAGGTTTGAGCTAAGACCAAGGTTTGAGCTCAAACCTCCTTTTGTTTCGCCAAACCTCCTTTTGTTCTTTACAAACCAGGTTTGTAAAAAACGCGTAAAACGCGTCATACTGACGTACCAAAACCAAGGTTTGTTGACAAACCTCCTTTGTGAATTCGGGCCTTGAAGTTGAAAAAAAAATTGTTAACTTAACTTTGTGAATGAACATGTTTAATGAAATAAATAAATAAACGGGAGATTGACATTTTGGACGGAAAGAAAATGGCAAATTTCAACCTGCGTTGCCAATTTAGAGACTTCAGTGATCATAATGATTACTTTCGATTAAATATCTGAACGTCACAATATATGGCAACATGAAGGGACTAAAATTTCCCAGGTATGTTTGCACTAATTTTTCAGAGCATTCTGAACCAAAAGATTAAAATGACCAAGACAAGACACGAAATTACTATGGATGTTAACATGACCTTACTTGAGCTATTAACATCAGATTCGTGACAATAGGGTGCAATTGGGACGACATTTTTTAATGTTGAATACTAAGAATGGATGAGTCAGTGATATTTGAGAAATTAGGGCACATGTGAGAACGAAATGTATTCTTAAAGCATACAGTACATTAATGTATTTGACCACAAATTTGTATCTTCTATAGTCTGTTATATGTGTTCTTTCTTGTATTTTTCTAGGTATCTGACGCAATATTACTGTGTTGTATTTTTTGTTGTTGATTGTTTTATTAAGAAATACACTTAAATAAAATGAACGATCGTGTATTCTAAGAATACAATGTGTTTCATTCAAATCAGTTTGACTGACTATATATTGCTTAACGAGGTTAAAGGGTTAATGTAAATGAATCATTGATGACAAAAGCAAAAGTAGAAGAACGCAGTTAATATGACACCTATCGATGAACGATGATCAGAAACATCATTTCCTTGTGATTAGGAACATTGTTAATTCATCAGATTTGGAATATGTAACCAAATATGTGGATACACTATGGAATTGAAGTCGAATGAAATTATGTAACCTCTTTTGTAATTTTGGAAAAGAAATACAAATTTTGTCTTCCATCTTTTAGAAATGAATATAATACCTGCAAAATCGTTAATGTCATACTGTGTTGTTTTAAATAAATTATTTTAGTGTCCTCATCAACAATAAATATAACTTGTAGTTAATTATAAGTACATAAACGTTTCTGTTGTTTTTATTTCTAGTCTCTTTGGTCTTTATTCTATTTACATAGGAAATATTTATTAATATAATGTTATAAATTATTTCACTTGTGAAGTACTTGTCCATGTTCCTACAAGGAGTACATATTGCGAGGATATAACATACCTCTAAAAGTACACCCTGTACATCAATAGCCACCTTCAGGTGTGAGCAAAGCGCTGAGCAGGGGCGGATCTATGGGGGTTCGACGGTTTAACCCCCCCCCCCCCCCTCCCCTGTGCGGCCAAGTGAAAAAAAGGGGGAAAGGGGGGGGGGGGAATAAGAGAAAAAAAGAAGAAAAAAGAAGAAAAAAGTAAAGCGGTAAAACGGCGCGATTTTTGGAAAATCCTGGATCCGCCACTGGGTCAACCCCCCCCCCCCCCCCCCCTTGGCAAAAAGCTAGATCCGCCCCTGCTGAGATACAGGCCAAACCCTTACTACCGATGATAAATCACATTGAGAGAGACCCGTTTACTTCATATGATTGTTAATTCATTTCTTACTCTAAATTCAAACATTCTCCAGCACAAAGCTCAAAGAGGAGAGGATGTGACAATATTGTTTGTGAGATTTAAGAAAAGACATACTTATAATGTTGTTATCAAAAGAGGGCAGTAAACAGCCTCACTGGTAATAAATCACTCTCTTACACAACACATTAGCTGTGTGAACTATATTTACTTTACCACCCTAAAAATGATATTGAAAGACTTACAATTTCAGAAACTATTTGCAATCCTTATCTGCAATATGCAATACCATCACCCCAATCACATCAACAATATCGGCACCAGACTGACAATAGATAGACCAACACAAATTTATATTCATCTATATGGCCGAAAATCAGCTGGTGTGCATAGGACACAGACACCAATATATCCAGAAAAAACACACAAAACTAATTTCCATTGATTGTAAAAAGGGGATTTATTAAAAAAAGGCACAATGTTTTGATATTCAAAGGGATACATGTATACTGATTTAACAAAAAGGAGAAATGTTTTTATTCTTTGAAGCTAAGCTAGCTATCTACTCGCCACAGCTTAAATTACTAAATGCAAATAATGCCAAATATATCACACTATAAACAGTTATAAAAATCATGTGAGGCTAAAATAAATGCAAACTTTAGGCTAAAAACATATACATGTACACTAGCAAAGGAACAGCAAGTGAGCTACAAAATGATAATAATAATAATAATAACACATGAGAAAGTATTTTGTATTTAGATACAATGTTTAGAAAAATATTTTTCTTATAGAAATGGCACCCTGCATGCGTTGTCACCGAATGTTGCTACTTGTTTACATCCAAAACATTTATTTACTTTTTGTTTTACTTCTTTTAACTGTGGTGCAGGCAAGACGGCGGAATAGTCGGATTAAATAAGGCACTGGGGAAGAATGGGATCTGATGTAAATAATGAATGACACTGACAAGAATCGTGTATTATTATTTTCAGATAATCTAGGAAATATTCAGTTACATTTGCTTTGTTAATGAAAGCACACACATTTTTTTTTTATTGTAAGTACAAAAACAAGCAGTAAACTGTAAAAACCTTAACTAAGTAGCACCATGTTGAATTTTTTTCTAAAAAGTCAGCCTTCTACTCACACCATCTCACACAGGGTTACTTTAAACACTCGTCTAAATATGCAAAGATTTGTTGACACCTTTAATATGCTTAGGACACTTTGCAACACCTGCAAGGAGTAACATGTATTGGTACAATGCGGCTCAAAATGCAATGATAAATAGTATGTCGGATGACTTTTGAAGCTACCTGTATATTGTTGCATGTAAGCCCATGCTCTTTCTGTATTAATGTATTATCAATCATATTAAACGAAATATGCAGTACCATCACATTTCTAACAGAAATTAATGAATACTTGTGTTAAAATTGTAATATCATTATAGGGATTAAAAGGAAATAATGTAAAATATATATATTCTTACCAAAGTACTAATCCTTATAAAGAGATTTAAGACTGTTGAAACAAAATTTCAGATTTGTCTTTTATTCTGTTTTTGTTTTAGATGATGTTATGAAGTATTCCTTGTTACATTAAGGACAGACTACTGTTGGTGGCAGAAAAAAAAAGAGTATGAAGGGTCCTAAAACATAGCCTTGTGGTGCTCCCTTGTTGCGTGTGAGTCTGGATTGGTTCAAGCTGTTGGGTTCTTCTCTCAGTCCTTAGTATGGAACTTGCTCTGTATTTCGAAAAGTACAAAAAAGAGAGAAACATATTTAGCTATCTGATGAATATAAATATATGATTTTAATCATATCTCTGAACTCTGCTAAAACATAACAAATGATGTCAGACAATCTAAATACAAAGAAGCCGTTTGTGGATAAAGCCCAGATGAACAAGTCCACATGACACAAGGCAAGATGGATATTCGGTCTTGTGGACATTCTCAATGATTGTAAGAAGACCTGCGAGACAAAAAGTTGGTCATGCAAACCTGTAAATTTATTTGTTATTACCTTCAGTAAATGCATTTTCATCAAAATAGCTCCCGTTTCAGAAGCAACAAATATGATGTGGTATATAAAACAAATATTGCCCACTTGTGGTCATAGTTAAAAATTATAGCCACTCAGTGATCCTAAGACTGTACTATGCATCTCAATCATACAGAATTTCAAAATCACCTCGAGCAATATTTTTCATAACGTACCGCATACAAAGATTTTAGGGCTTTGAATTTGAACTGCAAAATTCACTAGTGACTGCTTTTCAGTATAATGCAAAGCATTGACTTGGTATACTTCTACTTGAATGTAGAATGGAAAGATGCAATGGTTGCACATGACGTTAACAATGGATATGCACAGTAAGAAGCACACGCTGCCCTTAGATTGGTAAATTTCCTACATATAATTAAATCTTGACAGGCATACATTGTTAAACTAGATGGAATTCGACTGCGCGCAGTCGAAAATGATGCCTCCGTCATAGAGCAATTTTACAAACCGAAACGGAAGAAATTTTTCAAATTCAAGTTCAATTGTAATCCATTAACATGTTCTCAAAATATCGTGATTACAAGCAATTTCTCATAAACATATATGACCCTTTGATCTTTGACCTCATGACCCTAAAATCTACTCAGTTCATTGGCTCTGCAAGATTTCCTGAGTTAAATAGTAATCCATCTGTCAGTTCTAATAAGAATGCGTCCACAAGCTATTTTTGCATACATAATGAGCCCATGACCTTTGATCTTATGAACCATTCATTGGCTCTGCAAGATACATAAATGATCTAAGTTTGGCAGGAATCCATCAATCTGTTCTAATGATAATACGATCACAAGCTATTTTTGCATACATAATAAGCCGCATGACCTTGACCTTTACCTCATGACCCCAAAATCTAATCAGTTCATCAGCTCTGCAAGTAACATACATGACCAAAGTTTGGCAGGAATCCATCAATCGGTTGTTCAGATAACGCGATCACGAGCTGTTTTTGCATACATAATGTGCGCTGTGACCTTTGACCTCGTGACCCCAAAATCTAATCAGTTCATTGGCTTTGCAAGATACATACATGACCAAAGTTTGGCAGGAATCCATCAATCGGTTCTTCAGATAACGCGATCACAAGCTGTTTTTGCATACATAATGAGCCCTGTGACCTTTGACCTCATGACCCTAAAATCTACTCAGTTCATTGGCTCTGCAAGATACATACATGACCAAAGTTTGGCAGGAATCCATCAATCGGTTGTTCAGATAACGCGATCACAAGCTGTTTTTGCATACATAATGAGCCCTGTGACCTTTGACCTTTGACCTACGTGCTCCAAAATGTAATCAGATTGTTTTCCTATAGTGATACACACTATCACTAAGTTTGAAGTTTAAATCTCCAGTGGTTCTTGAGATATCATGATAACAATCTCAATGTATGGAATTTCATAAGTTGACCTCTGTGACCCTTGACCTTTGACATACGTGCTCCAAAATCTAATCAGATCGTCTTCCTATGGTGATACATACTATCCTTAAGTTTGAAGTTTAAATCTCAAATGGTTCTTGAGATATCGCGCTAACAAACTCAATACAAGGAATTTCATAAGTTGACCTCTGTGACCTGTGACCTTTGACCTACGTACTCCAAAATCTAATCAGATCGTCTTCCTATGGTGATAAATACTATTCCCGAGTCTTAAGTTTAAATCTTAAATGGTTCTTGAGATATTGTGATAACGGTCAAACGGGACGGACGGACGGACGTACGGACGGACGTACGGACGTACAGACGGACAACCCGAAAACATGATGCCTCCGGCACCACCTTCGGTGGCGGAGGCATAAAAAATATCTCCTTTTGAGAATTGACACGAAGGATGCGGTATAAAAAACAAATATTGACAGCCTTTTTTTATGGTCATGTTAAAAATTGTAGCCCTCAGTGTTATGAGACTGTACTACACCCCTCGATTTTGTCTCGGGGCACTGCAGTTTCAAGATGACTTCAGGGTAAGAATTTTAACTGAGCCCCAAAAAGTAGTAAATTTTGTGTACAGTAGTAGTTTTACAAGGGGGCTGGTGGGGCTTAGCTCAAGCCCACCATATGCCTCTCTCATCCCCTCCCCCAACAAAATTCTTCAAGGCCCCCCAAATTTCTTGACTATTAATGAATTTAAGCAAAGCACATGTATAAAATGAATGCAGAACCCCAAGACCCACCCCTCCCCCTCTCTCAACATTATTCTTCTAGAAACATGCCTGTATTTGTACACTTTTTTGTTTCATTTACCATCTGAAAGGTTGAGGCAACGTCCAAACTCCACGGCGCTGATGAGGGTGTCATTGTCGACATCACAAGCCTGGAGGAATGGCTTGGTGCAAGGTTCAAAGAGGACGATGGGAGCACGAAGACCCTCTAGCTCAGCAAAGTCAAGGTAACTATGGTGAAGGAAGAGCACAAGAATATCAACTCGCTATATGCCAAACAAATATTCTCACTGTGCCACATTGTATTTATTATATGATAGATACACTAAAGGCTTCGAGATAATTAAAAAAAATTCCTACACAAAATTAATTTATATGCTATTAAAGGATTGTCATGGAGCTAATCGAGACTGGATATCTTGAATTCTTGCAAAGCTATTGTGCTGCTCAATGCAAACCTTCTGTCCATTGGTTCCTGTTATTGTGTGCAAAATGGCAAATGTGGCAAATGAGCGACTGTGCAGAGAGGCGAGGGAAGCAATCAAAGTGTTACCTCTTAAAGGCCCACTGCACTACTTATAGCTACTTGCGCCCTCTATATAACAAACAACGCATAATCGGTGACCATTGGTCCCCCATGATCCTCTATTTCTTATGTTAATTGAGAGCTGAGTTGATGAGATAACCACCTGTCCAGTGACCTTGCAGCGTGGTCTAATCCCTCCTGTTCACTAGTGCAGATGAGCTTTAAGTTTTCGCAAGCACTATGAGACATGTTGTGATATTTCTTTGATTTCATTTGATTAATAGGAAACTATTCAAGGTAATTAGGATGAGGAAAGAGAACAAGATCACAACAATAAACCACTGTACAGTTTTAGCATGACCCATTGACACAGTCTGTAATAATTTCAATTTCAATTTGTTGCATAACAAATGAGCCAAGTTAAATAGGGGGAAAGACGAGGACAAGAATGTTATTTTTAAAGATGAAGTTGAGTTCTGGTCATGCGATTGCATTGTGAAAGAAACAGTGTGGAATCGACCAGAAAAGGTTGATCATCTAGCATATAATTATTTGTGTGTATTGCAAGGTTCTGGAATCATCAAAATGATAAGAAATTTGGCCAAGTCTTGGTAAAGTTACAAACATTGTACACAGAAAGATGTATACGGGACTACACGAACACGTGGCGTAAAAATCCTACCCTGGAGTTTTACGATGTTACATGACATATTTAGAATATGAAGGCATTTGAAGAGCCATGCTTTTCAGGGAACATGTCTTATCTGATGTTCTTCCACACTTGCATAATAAGAATGATAACTCTCACAAATTATTTTTCACCTCTTCCCAGAACTCAACCTTCTCTTTAAGGTACTGTCCAGTTCGGGCAATCCCATGTATTGGTTTTAATGAGTTTGATTTCTTGAACATCAATTTAGTCAAGGTACTTGGGATGAAGGAACAGCTCACAAGAATATCAAATACATTCCTGTACACACCGCATGACCTTTCAAAGGGTACACTATGTCAGATTGGCAGTGTAACAAAAGATGCTAAAATCCATCAAATAGGAGATTTCCCCTCGACACTTATTAACATAACTCGAGAAATATTTATAAAATCTGTCATTCAATAGCAAAGTACACAGGATTTTCTTCCCACATTTTTGTTGATTATTTGTGAACAATCAATAATGTTTTCATGATGAACTTATGGACTTAATTACAGTCGGTACACAAAAAGTGGCATATTGCATTCCATTATAGAATGCACAGATGAACTGCGCATTCTCTGTTCTTACCTTTTTTTCTTCAGATATATAAATTGTAGTTCAAATTCATGAAACTGCATTAAAGGGACTTGGTAACATTGTTCAGATGAGAGAAAGTGGTGCTAAGGTAGTGACTTCAATGCTAGATGTACAATTAAAGATAATCTGAAATGTTGAGTGGAAATGGACCATTATTAATGATAAAAATTGGGAAAAACTGATCTGATCGATTCCTTAATTCTCCCAACTATATTATTACAATTTAATTACATTTTAGGTGAATGTAAATCGTCACAAAGCAATATTTTTAATAGGCTGTTTTATGTCTTTTCTTCATGGAAAAAACGGTTGCGAAAATTCAAAAAGGTTTACTGTTAATCACTGTTAGAGGGTGTTGGACAGTGACGTCTTCAAAGAAAACCATAGATATCTTCGTGGTTTGAGAATTTTTTTCAGGATTTTTTGCATGTCAGAGGGTTAGTACAGTAAAAGAAATATAATAAGTAACATTTTATACAAAAATTAAGCAATTTTTTCATCAACCTTCAACAATGTTACCGAGTCACTTTAAAATAACAATTTTTCAAGCTGTTTCATGAATTTCAATTACAAAAACACTGCTAATTAAAGAAATACAAAGTGAAATTAAACCCCCAAAATCATAATGATTAATATCTGATGTTGCCCTTACTGGTCAGAAGGGTTTTTGTCAAGACGATCAAACTTCCAGAAGATAGCATGGGTTGATTGGCTCCACTCCTGCTGGAGAGTTTCCTTCTCCTTCTGAGAGAGACCTCCATGTTCCTCAGGTCGGTTCCTGATCAGCGCCAGGGACTTGATGAACCAGTTGGTCATGCGCTCAGGGTACTCCCTCAGGTCTTCAGCAGAGCAGCTTCCCATCTCTACAGGTTTGGAAAAAGAATGGAAAAAACGTTGCGTCACCTTACATCAGTATTGTTTCGTCATGAGCTACAAATCTAAAGATTATTGGGATGGTCCTCAAATTTACATCTTCTGCTACTGCTACTACTACTACTTCTACTACTACTATTACCACTACTACTACTATTAATACTCTGACTACTATCAATACTACTCCGACTACAACTACCACTACTGATACTACTTCTAAGTCTTCCTGTTAGCTTCCTGTCGTATATTGTGTGTTCAATATTCTTTGGACTTTTATTTGCCAAACGAACAATAATGTCACAATTATGATAATAAATTTAAAAAAATTCATGGTAAACCCAAGATATTTTGTTCCAAATGTTACCAACCACATCAAAGACTGCAGCATAGCTTATGATTGTAGTACATTCATAGCCTTACTGTTGCTGAAATCAGAGCAAATATGAAGGGAAGTAACACTTTCAATGTTTGTTATTTCATGATTCAGTAGAAGTGTCATACTCGAGTGGTTTAAGCACTTGACTTGAAATTCAGAGGTCGTGGTTCGATCCCAGACCCGGCACTTATGTCCTTTGGCAAGGCATTAATCTACATTTGCCACTCAATACCCAAGAGAGAAATGGGGACCTGGTAGGATGACGAAAGCATTTGTGTTAGCAATTGTATATGACCTCATGGTGACCATATGGTAGGACTTCTCCCCAGGGAGTGGAGATGGTGCACATTGTGTGTGAATGAATCCAATGACCGGTGTTATAATATCTGTATAGCTCTTAGAAGCAGTATTCTATATTAAGCGCTATATAAATCCAGATTATTATTAGTAGTATTCTTGAAAAAGTACAGGACAGCAAAATGACCAAATACCTTGGACTTTCCCTTCAGTAATTATTATTTGGGGAGAGAAGAGAACACAGGGTCAGTACCCTGTACAACTCCAACAAACGCCATGGCTCAGTGGAATAGCAGTCGTCTTGGAGGTCTAAGGTTCGATCCCAAGACAAAGCGCTAGTGCTCTTTGGTAAAGCATCAACCCTCATTACAAAGTCCATCAGAGAGGACTGGAAGCCGTCTGTCCCCTGGTTGCTTACTTACATGTATACAAATGCTTTCTTAGCAGTCATGTAAAATAACAAACATACATTATCATTACCTGCACACTCTCCATAATAGTCCACATGGACCTCCATCAGATCGACTTCCATGCACTTCTGACGATGGAACTCACAAAGGTTGGTGAAGGTGGCATTGGTGGTTGTGCAAACCTTGGTCCTGTGGATGGCATCCTCAGATGTCTCCCCTTGTGGGCAGCTCGTGGCGCAGTCACAGAACGGCTCTCTCTGATTGTCCAAGACGCACTCCCGGCCAATCCTGCACTCCATGTTTGCGCATGGGTCTTTAGAAACAAATTTGAAGAGACTAAAGATAAGTTACAATTTCAAAACAATGGAACAATTAAAGAACAACAGTAATGATAATAAAATATTCATGACACTGCTCTTTTCCTCAAGGTAAGCCATTAGCGCAGTCACAGATCAGCACCTTGTTGACCATGTCTAGGATGCACTCCCACCCAACCCTGCACTCCAAGTCTGCCATCCTGTCTAATGAAGAAAAAAAGACTTACAAATTGATTATAATTTAATTATAATAAACAACAATGCAACTAATGCAACATTATTGAGAATACTCTTTGGCTACAGCCTACGAGACAGACCATGTTGGTGTCACAGCCCTTCTAAAATGTTATCAAAAGGTTCAAGGTTGACAAAACCATCTTCCTACAAGACAGAGTCTTGTGGACCTTCTGAAAACTTTCTGAGGGTTCAATTTACAGACATTGTGGCCCGAATTCACAAAGGAGGTTTGTCGACAAACCTTGGTTTTCGTATGTCATATGACACGTTTTTATGCGTTTGTTACAAACCTGGTTTGTAAAAAACAAAAGGAGGTTTGGCGAAACAAAAGGAGGTTTGTCGACAAACCTCCTTTGTGAATTCGGGCCTGTCAGTCCAATGGGCTACTGTTCTATTGTTGCTCTTTTCCTTGAGGGCAATGTTCGTCCATCACAGCCTTAGAATGGCTCCATGTTCATACTGTCTATGAAAAATAGTCAGTTGACCTGCAGACATACAATGTAGCCTGTGCGGGCTTCAAATAAACAAAATGTACAATATAATAAAGAGCAAATATAATGATAAGTCACTTGCTAAAGATTGTCCTTTTCCTCAATTGCAGCTTCTGCACAGATTGGCTCTATCTACTCTGTTTTCTACATAGTTTGGATAAAATTGGTGTATGTTGATTACCAACAAATTTAATTTGTTTGTGAGAAATACTTCCTGATGTTGTTTTACTTGCTTTATATGCTTCTACATGTTATGCTGAAACCGGAATGTACGAGTATCCAACAAGGCTATGAAACAGTGGCCTGTGAACTTGTGAAGCTATAAGACATTGGCTTATGTTATGGCACGATATACACATTCTGTAGTAACATCTTGGCTGCTACATCCCTGACTAAGGAATCAGGGGGGTGTTTCACAAAGATCCTAAGTAGAACTTATCTCTAAGTTGGACTTAAAAATTATGGACAGCCATTGGAGTCTTAAAATGAAATATATTCAAAAGCAGAAATTCAAGTATTTTAGACTTTTTATAAATTCCACGTCCAGAACATGAAATCTCCTTGATGATAAAAAATATGAATGATTTGAATAAACAACTAATGCCTTTTAAAATAACTTTTACAAAATATTTTCATAGATGCTATTTTATGGCTTTCCATTATTTTTAAGTCCAACTTAGAGATAAGTTCAACTTAGGATCTTTGTGAAACACCCCCCAGGATGCAGTTGGCAGAAATCGGTAGTGAGATATCCCACCGCTGCCATCAGGTTGTGTTTCTGGTCCACAGATTCAATTAACCCATTGCTTACGGGAACCTGGTGGTCTCTGTGTTAAGTCTATGGGAATTAGATAATTCAGAAGTCAACGGGGTAAATGACACATAATGCTTGATGATTGCAAGGGTAGGTTTAAGTTTAATGTTGATGCTATCGATGCCATTTTTCCCCTTTTATTTTCAATTTCATTTTCCCTCTTGTAGACTGTAGGGCAAGTCACTGTATTGTGATGTTTCGTAGTCCCATCAGTGGCAGTCGACCAAACCAGTATGAAAATATAAAGAAAATTATTACAAACATATTTACCGTTTGTTCTCCTCATTTTCTTTACGGTTTTTCGTGAAAACTAATTAAAGATAATAATTATGCTGCCTCCTAATATTCGTGGGTAATGTGCCGGGAAATCGGAGGTGTGTCCAATTTAACCAATCACGAGGCGGAATTTTCCCTAAGTCATCGTCCTCGTTCGCTACATAGAAACATCTGACAACCAAAATGGCGGATGACGCCGTTGAAGCTCCGTCACCGGCACCAGGTATAAAGAAATGTGTTATTCACTTTCCTACGGTAAATAATGTTGTTCTTAAAGAATTTTCCGCAATCACTTGGTCCAAAGCTTTGGCTGCTGCAGAGATTTTAAAATATACGGAAGGAGAAAAGTGTAAAATTGCTACGGGTTTCCTTGTCGATGTCGCAACAACTACTGCTAGTGACAATGTAGATCTAAATGACAATGTTAATGTATTGACAGCAACTCCGCCGGTTCATGCTCGTTTTCACCGTAATTGCTATCAGAAATTTACGGACAAAAGGAGGCTAGTACAAGCACAGAGAAAACGTCACAAGACTGAATTTGAAGGTGAGTTTCTATCTCTTTGTTTGCAATAAACATGATAACCCAGCAGATATTAAGCTGGGGTGTGTTGTTTACATTTTTTTCCTTTTTTTCTCCTAGACTAGTCTAGACCCCTCTAGGCCTAGGGCAAGTCAATGTAGCCTAGGCTATGCCTAGATCTCACTATGAATATGACTGACAAAGAAAGCGGACAAAATATACAGTTCTTCAGGTAGACAAAGGAACATCCCTTCACTGCTATTATGTAAAAATGTGTAGAACAGGTGTTACATGCATATTCACCTTTTTACATAGCAGTGAAGGGATGTTCCTTTGTCTATCTGAGGAACTGTAGATCTATATTTTGTCCGCTTTCTTTGTCTGTCATGTTTATAGTGTCTATGTCGTTGTTTCGTAGCTGACGGTGTCCCATCAGTGGCAGTCAACCAAACCCGTATGAAAATGTAAAGAAAATTATTACAAACATGTTTACTGTTCTCATTTTATCTGCGCGTTCTTGTGAAAACTAATTAGATCTCTAGATTAAAGATAATAATTATGTTTCCTCCTAAATTAATTTGTGGGTAATGTGCCAGGAAATCGGGGGAGCGTCCAATTCAACCAATCACGAGGCGGAGTTTTCCCTACGTCATTCCTTGTTCACTACATAGAAACGTCTGACAACCAAAATGGCGGATGACGCCGATGAAGTGCAAAATTGTTCCCCGTATTGAACCGTATACAGCGACCACCAGTGCAAATGATAATGTATTGACAACAACGCCGTCTCGTGCACGTTTTCACCGACAATGTTATCAGAAATTTACGGACAAAAGGAAGCTAGAACAAGCACAGAGAAAACGTAAAATACTTCGAGATTCTGACAAGGCTGAATTTGAAGGTGAGTTTCTATCTCTTTGTTTGCAATAAACATAAAAACCCAGGAGAAAATAAGCTGGGGTGTGTTGTTTACATTTTTTTTTTTTCAGTGCTTTATACTTACACACTAGGCCTCGAAATACAAGGCCTACATGTATTTAGACAAGGGGCACTTTTTCTAACATGAAGATAGAAATAGCTGTCAAGTCAAGCTATCATCAATTTTAATTTGGCCTTTTTTTATTAGAAAAGACGGGGGCGAAGTTTGACCAATTTTGAAATATCTTTTAATATGAATTTTGTTTTTGAAACATTTTAAAGAAATCTCAAAAGACGCCAAAGCTATCTGAAATTTTTTCAAAATGGCAGCGAAGCTATCTTCAATTTTTTATATGGACTTTTTTTCTGGAACATTTTAGAGAAATTTGAAAAAACGGCGAAGCTCTCGTCAATTTTTGAAATAACTTATAGACTCTATATCTAATGTGAATTTTGTTTTTGAAACATTTAAGAGAAATTTCAAAAGATGGCAAAGCTTTCTGAAATTTTTGATATGACAGCAAAGCTATCTTCAATTTTTAATATGGAATTTTTTCTGAAACGTTCAGAGAAATTTGAAAAGACGGCGAAGCTATCGCCAATTTTTGAAATAACTTATAGGTCTAATATGAATTTTGTTTTTGAAACATTTTAAAGAAATTTCAAAAGACGCCAAAGCTATCTTAAGTTTTTGAAATGACAGCGAAGCCTTGAAATATTTCAGAGAATTTGAAAATACGGCGAAGCTATCGCCAATTTTTTAAATAACTTATAGATCTAATATGAATTTTGTTTTTGAAACATTTTAAAGAAATTTCAAAAGATGCCAAAGCTATCTTAAGTTTTTGAAATGACAGCGAAGCCTTGAAATATTTCAGAGAATTTGAAAATACAGCGAAGCTATCGCCAATTTTTTAAATAACTTATAGATCTAATATGAATTTTGTTTTTGAAACATTTTAAAGAAATTTCAAAAGACGCCAAAGCTATCTAAAAATTTTTATATGAACTTTGTTGTTGACCTAGAGTTTTATTTTCTTTTTTTTCCCAGATCCAACAAGTTTTGCAAGGAGGTAATAGAAGCCAAATTGATAGCTGACAAGAAGGTTTTGGAGCTTATCGCCTTGAAATATTTTAGAGAATTTGAAAATACGGGGAAGCTATCCCCAATTTTTGAAATAACTTATAGATCTAATATGAATTTTGTTTTTGAAACATTTTAAAGAAATTTCAAAAGATGCCAAAGCTATCTGAATTTTTTGATATGAGCTTTGTTTTTGACCTAGTGTTTTATATTCTTTTTTTTTTCCCAGATCCATCTGATATCCCTCCACAACCTAAGAAGCCGTGTAGGAGTCTACGATCTCGGCGCTCATCTGCCAGCTTTAGACGATCACAACATGTGCTTCCATCTGAGTGTATCATATGCCAAAAAGTCATTAAAGATTTGTACAACCACGGAAAGAGGACGAAAGAAAATCTGACTTCATGCCAGTTTGTCGACGGTGGCAAATTACTACAACAAGCAATTAATGAACAGAACACCAGGATTCTTGGACTGATCCAAAAGCAAGACTGCGTAGCTATAGAGGTGAAGTACCATGCCACATGCTTCAGAAATTTCACGAGACCACTCACCAGGACAGAAAGCCTGCAACCAGACAGATTGTACAGCTTGTCTTTCAGCAAGTTCTGCAAGGAGGTAATAGAAGTCAAATTAATAGCTGACAAGAAGGT